TTTTTTTTAAACTCAGGGCCTTGTGCATACTAGGCAAGGACTCATGTGTTGAGCTGTATTGCACTCCAACCCAGAACCTCTGTTTGTTTGTTTGTTTATGGTGCTGGGGATTGAACACACAGCCATTTTTATTTTGAGACAAAGCCTTGTTAAATTCTCAGGTGGGGCTTAAATTGACAAACCTACTATGGCTTTCCAGAGTGATGAGATTAAAGAGATGCACCACCACACCTGGATGCAAGATGTTTTAAATACTTAACTACTTTCTTAGGACATTTTCAAAACTGTGTGTGCATATAACTTCTAGAAAAGGAAAACAGAAAGCAGTCATGTACTGACAAACAAATGGGTAATAATTAAAAAAAAAATTACCTGATGGAACACAGGCTCTTTTACTTTAAGATAAACCTGTAAGATATTAGAAGAAAATACATGTGAATGAAGTGTTTTACCACAGGGGGTATTTTAACTACTCTGTAAATTCTAAACCTCTACTGTTCCACTCATCCCACTTGGACCCAACTCTAGTCCATAAAAATCAACCAGATTAGGTGCACGCCACAGGAAAGCCAGTACCTATAAGTAGTTTTTACACTGTGTTAGCTCTGCCATGGTAAATAAAACATTCCAAATGTTACTGACTACTCTTTGGCTTCTGTATCACAATCAAAGAAAGACAGGAGGCACAGATACTAATGAGGGGCGAAGGTGTTGACAGCTCCTGTCCCAGATCTGTTCTACACTAGCAACAGCATTGGGCTTAGAATTAAGCCACCAGTTTTCATACTCACCACTTAAATGCTACATGCATTGAACAAAAGACTCATTTTTCCTTATCTGGATAATGGAGAATAATAGTAATGAGGAATGATAAGCTAAAACACATGAAAGTGCCTAACACACAGATGTATCTCAGTTACTTTCCTAAATGCATCTCACACACATAAGTCCCAGTTTTACATGCAATGTCATGGGCAGTTAAGTGTCATGCTTCTGTCTATTTAAACATATCGCTCTTTACTTTGTTCAGAAATTCATTCCCACTGGGAAATACTCATATTTTAAGATTCAACTTTTCCTTTTGCTTGCTTGCTTCACTACCTTCTGCCTACCATGAACTGTTTCTCTCCTCTGTGGTGCCAGTGTGCCAACCACCTTGCCTTTACGCCAGCCGATTATGGACCAAAACTTCGACAAATTGTGAGCTAAATAAATCTTTCCCCTTGTGGGGGGCAGAAAAAAAGATTCAACTCTTTTAAAATTCAACTATTCTGTTTCTTGAAGGTTTTTCTGATTCCTTTTCTTTATACTACAAGCAATCATTCACCTTCTTTTCCACCATTACTGTCTATATATAAATTTCATGGCATTAATTTGTTTCTCTTCTCTATAAAACAATGTTTTTGCTAGCAAGGAATGGGTTCTAGCTCTACATAGCTCTGTATTCTATTTAATTTACTGATCTAATAAAATTTTCTATGATTTTAACATTTGGCTATAAAGTTTATTTCAGGACTAAGTTTCTTGTACAAAAAGTCATATTATTTCCTTTTAAGTAGTTATAGGGCTTTCAAAATATGTGTCTAAGACATTATATATTGTAACTCTAAATGTAGTAAACTCAGTAAAAAAATGCCTCTAATCTCTGAATTCCTTATTTCAAAATACAAATTTTGGGGGCATTTCTCTCTCTTTTTCTTTTTGATTTTTTTAAAAATATATTTTAGTACAAGGTCTACAGGGTCTTACTACATAGAGCAGACTCATAGAGATCCTCCGGCTTAAGCCTCCCAAGCCCTGGGATTACAGGCGCGCACCATCATGCCCAGTCTCAATTGCCGTCTTAGCATGCCTGGGATCGAACGCCTGGCCCCTGCACCTGCTTGCAGGTGCTTTTAATCCACTGAGCTATTTGGCTGGCCCTGAAAATTTCTGTTAGCTTTTAATCTTCACTATACTTAATTCATTTGGAGGCAAGTAATAGTAGTAATACTGTTCACCTGCTAGACATATTTTGTTTGGTTTTACTCTTTGACATCAAGCTTTTTTTTTTTTTTTTGGTGGAACCAGGGATTGAACTCAGGCCTTTGCGCTTATTCTATGGAGCCATCTCCCCGACATCAAGCTCTTTTAGCTTTACAAATCTCTATTATTTATTCTTAGTCTCCTTTGCTTGCTCTATTTCTTCCATCTGTCCCTCAAATGGCTGCATCCTATAGAATTGTTTGTTTCTTTCTTTTTTTTTTTTTTTTTGGCGGAACCAGGGATTGAACTCAGGCCCTTGCCTGGGAAGCGCTTATCCCACTGAGCCATCTCCCTGGCCCCACAGAATTATAACTTCCATTGTACTAGTGGCCTATATTATTTCTGTGTTAGGTTATCCATCCCCACATTTCTAGTACTACCTACATTCTGCAACTCCCAAATTACATCTTTAGGTCAGTCTACCTGTTAGCCTCAGATGTTATTATTGCTGGGCAGCTCAAACTCAATATACATTGAATTAAATGTACTCATCCCTATGCCATGGCACAGACCTAGTCATTATCTCTCCTGAAAAACTGATCATTTTCCAAGTTTCCTATCATGGTTAAGGACATACTGTGTATGCTGACAGCTGGGCCATGAACTGGGCAACCGGTCTAGAATCTCTTTTTACTCTAATTCCACCCTCTCTAAAAAGATTGCTCCCACTTACCATATGCTTCACCTGTGTCAAAACTTTCCCAATTCTACTGGAGGTGATTTAATGAGACAAAAAATGTAAAGTGCTCAGTACAGTATCTGGCATCTAGTAAGTAATTAGTAACAGTAATTCACCATGTTGTTTCAAAGTTTTGTGTCTCTGAACATATAAATATCTAAATGTTTCAGGGGCCTGAAAAACTCTTAATCATCAATTAAAATCTCAATAAGGTATCTCTTTTCTAAAGCTTTCTTTTTTGACCTCTTTTTAAAAAATAATTTATATGGATAAATAAAAATGTAAGTCACTCATACTCATGAAGTTTCACACATGCTCAAGCAGTCTTGATCGTCTCTCCACTGTCTCATCATCACCTAGTTTTTCTTTTCCTTTTTTGCATTTTTATATATTTGGTACAGGGTCTCACTACGTAGCTCGGAGTCATAGTGATCCTCCTGTTATCAGCCTCTCCAGTGTTGGGGTTATAGGCATGAGCTACCTCATCCGGACTTGGCTGCCAGCTCAGTGTGCTCAGGGGGTGGGGCTGGTGCAGAATGTGGGACCAAGGATTGAACCTTGGTCCCTGTGCTTGCTAAAGCAGGTGCTTAATCTGCTGGGCTATCTTACCAGTCTTTCGTATAGTTTTTAACTCTGCTATTGGAACTATCCTTTTTCTTCCTTCCTTCCTTTTTTTTTTTTTTTTTGACAGGGTCTAACTGTAGTTTAGGTTGGCTGTGAACACACTATGTAGCCAAGGCTGGCCTCCAACCTGTGATGATACTCCTGCCTCAGCCTCCCAAATGCTGGGATTATAGATATGTGTCACCATACCCAGCTTTGCAATTTTCTTTTGATATAATGCTTTGTTTACTGTCTAAATTTTCTAATGGAACAAATTCCTCATCAACAGCAATTGCTTTTTAGTCATCTTTGTATTTCTAGTGCCTAACATATAGGCACTAAATGTTAATAAATATTTACTGAAATATCGTGTGTGTGTGTGTGTGTGTGTGTGTGTGTGTGTGTGTGTTTAACCAAGGATTGAACTCGGACCCTTGCGCTTGCCAGGGAAGCAGTTATTCTACTGAGCTATCTCCCGGGGCCCTGAATATCTTCTTAATACAAAATGCAATTTATTTGAAAGAAAAAGCACTACAGTTGGCTCAAAAGTGATTGATTACCTCAAATTATTAGGAAAAGGTTAACCATTAAAATAATTACACTGGTCCCAAAAGAGCAAGGTCAATCTCTTGTTTTTGACAAATAGGAAGTAACAAGCACATCCATAAGAAAGTTTTTTTCCACTGAATATTTGCTTTGTCACCTTATCATTGAGAACTAAGTTATTTTGACTGTGGAGAACATAACACTTGAAAAAGAGACAAAAGAACAATCTGTAAAAATAAGATATTCCAGTTGTACATAGAAACATTTCAATTTGAATAGCTTGAAGTGAATACAGGAAGCAAAATGTGCCAAACTTCATAAATGGCAAATTCACATGCTTAATCTGTTATAGACAAAATATGACTTACTGTGGTTACTATTAAACTGAATAGAACTAAGGTAAAAAGCAGGTGGTAGTTTACTGAGTTCTTTGCCTTGAAGCATTCAAACCTTAAAAAAAGAGAGAAAGAAACTTTAGAATATATAACTAAGAACATAAACAGAATACTTCTTTACCAGTTGCCCACACGCCACTGTAAGCTAGTGATACCCACCATTTCTTCCCATCCACATTCTCATTGTAGAAACCTTGCACTGCCTATGGCCTTCTAGAGGTTGGAAGGGCAAAGGCATAGACACCTGACTTAAACTACGATGATGAGGGCTTTCTCTTGAAAATCTGTAGAATTTGGGAGCCATAAAATAAATCAATTAAATATACAATTATGAATCAGAAGGATTCAAGGTCTGAGGTTGATTATTAGGGGGCAACCAAACTGAAGGATCAAGTGGATGATCACAGAAGTAATCTGTAGAGAGGAAAGAACAAAGTAGATACAAAGTTTTGAAGTTAAGTAGAGAGGAAGGAATAGAAGAGGGAGGGAGAAAGAAGCTGCCTTCCCTGTTGTGCTGAGATGAGACCATACTTTCTGCTATTAGGTTTCATATAATTTTCTCATGTCTTTTTTTTTGGAACCAGGGATTGAATTCAGACCCTTGTGCTTGCCAGGGAAGTGCTTATTCCATTGAGCTATCTTCCCAGCCCCATTTTTCTCATGTCCTTACAAAAACCAAATCTCTCTTAAGCTAACCTATGTTTCTATATTATGCAACTGATTAATACTAAATTTTTATTTTTTATGATAAGCAGCTGGCTTTATTTTTTTTAAACAGAAACCAGTAACATGATTATTTATTATTATTAAGCATCGAGTACCTAAGTGTATTGCTATATACTTGATGGCTGGCAACACAATATATTTATTTATATCAGCATCATTACAAATACTTGAATAATGTAATATGCTACATCATTATCATAGCTATGAAATCAATATGTGTGGTAGATTGCCAACTGGTGGTCAACTTGTTACACCCAGTGGAACTGAACTAGCATGGTGCTGGGTGTGGGAGGCCCACCCGAGGGTTGTTGCCAGCAGCATAAGAGGCAGAACTAGAGAAGCTGTTGAGAGGCTGTTTGAAGCTGTTGACTCTTAGGCCATTGTGTTGGGGGACCTTGTAATGCTGGCTTTCCTGGTGAACTTGGTTGTTCTCGTCAGAAGATGAGCTTGGGACCTTGTTGCTGAGGGTGGTTGTGGTACTTTTTGGGCAAGTTCTAGTTCTTGTTTTAAAATTTTTTTATTTTATTTTTATATTTTTGTATTTAGGACAGGGTCTATAGGTTCTCACTACGTAGATCGGACCTGTAGCTATCCATCTGTGTTCAGCCTCCCAAGTGCTAGGATTACTAGCACATGCACCACCACACCCAGTCTCAATAGCCATCTCAGTGCACCTTGGGGACTGAACCCCAGTCACTGTGCTCTACCTAAGCAGGTGCTTTACTCTGCTGAGCTATCAAGCCAACCCTGAAGTTTGGTTCTCAACTTAAACATTGCTTTCAGGCTCCAGTTCAGATCCCTCATCCCACTGGAATAGACTTCTTAGCTTCCACCACTGACCGCTGGGCCTTCCCAGCGCAGGTCTGTGAAACAGACCTGCACGATACACTGTTGTGGGCTCTAGGCCTCCAGTTAGACTTGGGGGAGGCACTGTTATGAGCTTCAGGTCTTCAGCTGGACTCACGCAGGATATTATGATGGATCCAGGCCCTCAGATGGATTCTTTGGTCTTTAGTGTTTGGATAGATTTCCTGCACTCTCCTTTTGTATATGATTCTTTGGGTGATTCATTATAAATAATCTTATAAAATATGTACCCTGTATTATATTGTTTCCCTTGTAAAATCCCAAACCACAACATTAGGTAGTAAGAATTTTTCAGCTTCATTATAATCTTATGGGTAATCACAGTATATGTGGTCTGTTGTTGACTGAAATATTGCTATATCAGGAACTTTTTCTTTAGGACAGAGTGTACAGGGTCTCACTGGATAGATGGACTCGTAGTGATCCTCCTGCTTACAGCCTCCCAAGTGCTGGGATTACAGGCTCGCGCCACCACATCTGGTCTCAATGGCCTTCTCAGTGTGTCCTGGGGGTGGGGCAGGGCCTGCAGTGCAGGCCAGGCCAGGGGATCAAACTCCTGGCCTCTGTGAATGCCTAAGCAGGAGCTTTAATCTGCTGAGCTATTTGGCCAGGCCTTGAAATATTGTTATAATAAATAGTACATTATAATATTATTCTTCTCAGGACCATTTGTATCATTTTTTCCTAATATCTACCTTCTATTTTTGTCTATTTGGGTTTCTCATATAAGAGAAACCATGCAATATTTAAACGTGTGTATCTGACAAAGTGAAAGTTTTCCTACAAATGACTCAAGTTTATGCTTTATGGCACAGTAATATTTCCTTTTATATAAATGCCAATTTTTTTCTTTAGCCATTGATCTGTTGCTGAAAGTGGACTGCTTCCCATATTTAGCTACTGTGAGTTGTGCTGCTATGAACATGAGTACACATGCAACACTGTAATATGTCCTTAACCCAGGCAGATACCTACAAGGGAAATAAAACTTTTTAAAAATCACTGTTATAATTATTTCTTTTCTTTACTGTATCCCCAACTAGACTAGAAACTTCGTGTGAGCAGGGAAATAATCTTAACTATTTTTTCCTTTATGTAGTCATTAGGATGTCCTGATGCATGGGAGACAGTAAATAAAATATGAACAAGTAATTGGCCACTTGTAAGTGCCCAACTTTTGAGGATGGAGCCTTTTGCAGCGCACTAACTGGTTGTAGAAACTGGATGTACCTCTTGTTACCTTAGCTGTAGAGTACCCAGCTGAGCTAATTTTAAAATTCCCTTTTTAAAGTTTTGTGACTTTGAATGGCAAAAATACCAGGTTTTTTTGAGACAGGGTCTTGCTACAGTTCAAATTGGCCTTGAGCTCACTTTGTAGCCCAGGCTGGTCTCAAACCTGTAATGATCCTCCTTCTTCAGACTCACTGTTGCTGGGATCATAGGCATGTGCCACCACACCCAGCTGGGACATGTGTTTTCACCTTCAAGTTATGAGTTTATGGCTTGCAAGGGGGTGGAAAACTTAAGTGAGATATTTGAATTATAGTTAATCTTTTCATTCTGTTTATAGTTTAGAGAGTTTTATCATTTCAAATGTCCTCAAAGCAGGTTACAAGTAACCTTTCTTTAGTAGGCCTGGCTTATATTTCTTACTGGGATAATCTTTATTATAGATAGCCACTCTTTAATCTGTCCCTTACTTAGTAATAAGTTCTTTGATCCTTCATTTTTATGGAGTCCAGGATCACGTTCTATACAGTGTAGGATCATGTGTAACACCAAGAACCTTTACATGTTTCATAAATGAGCAAATTACATCTATCTATCTATTTCTATAAGGCAGATATAAATATGGCTAGAATTCTAGACTACTCTGTGTACTTGGCTGTCCAAATATCCTAATGAATAAATAGAAAGATCAATACGCAAAATTAGCAAAGTCATGGAATAAAAAGATAAACACCCAAGAAATCAACTACTTTCTAAATGTTAGCAATGCACAACTGAAAAAGTTTTAAAAACTTTTTTTCCCCAGTGTTTTTGAACTGAGGGCCGCATACATATTAGGCATGTACTCCAACCCAGAATTATGCTCCTACCTCCAAAAGCAGCACCACTTAAAATAGCACCCAAAATCATGAAAAAACCAGGGTTAAATTTAACAAAGTATGTGGAAGACCTATGCACTAAAAATCACACCACTGAGAGAAATAAGAAAACCTAAATAAATAAAAACTATGCCACATTCAGGTTTGAATCATTTAAAATTTGTTAAGATATTAATTGTACCCTAATCAGCCTACAGAATCAATGTAATCACAATCAATATTCGAGCAGAATTTTTTTGGTAGAAACTGATAATTCTAAAATTAGTATAAAAATACATAGGATACAGAATTACCAAAGCTATACTGACAAAGAACAAAACTGGAGGACTTACTCTGACTTCAAGATTTATAATAAAACCACAATAACAAAACAATTTGGTAACTAAATGAGTAAACACAGAGATCAACAGAATAGAGAAAAAAGTGCCAAGCTGGACATGATGGCTCACATCTGTAATTCTACAACTGTGAGACATTAAGGCTGAAAGATTCCAAGTTTAAGCTTAACTTAGGTAACTTAGCAAGACCATGTCTCAAAATTTAAAAAGGGCTAGGAATGTAGTTCAGTGTTCCCTGAGTTCAATTCCTAGTACCATGCGGTGGGGGTGCACTGGAAAACACTAAGAAAACAATTTAAAATACAAATATCTGGTACTGGACAGGACTCAAGCTTAAAACATATAAAAACTTGTACTATTCAATAAAAAAGCAAATTAAAAAAAAAA